CAAATTACAATATGTTAGGTAAAGGCTATCTTGAATCTTTGGTAAAAAAGTCTCATTAATTTTTCGCTCCCCTTTACTTTCTCATACTCCCTATCCTTAAAATTAAACAAACTTTATTTCTCCTATTCGTTTGAATCTTCTTGGTGAAACCTATCTACTTCTTCTTGAGTTTTCATGGTGTGGAAATGGCCTTTACCTGACAGTATTAGCCATGAAGGAAGAATATATGCCATTTGTTTGGATCGAAACTTTGTTGCCGTTCGCGTAAGTGAATCCGGATCGATCGCCTCCCTCGGCAATGGAGAAAACGGTAAGAAAAAGGGGACACATTCGTATTTCAAAAGTTAGTTACGGCCAGTAGGTTTACATGTTTCGGGACGTGTAATTCACTCTGGATAAAGAAATAAAAAAATTATAAATTTGTTTCCCACCCACACCCACACATATGAAAGATGGAATAATGCACTGGCCGCATTGATATCATGAATTTGTAACCTATTCGATAGGGATTCGAACCCCCACCACCATTGCAAAGAATTCACAAGACGATCACTCTATCCACTGATACACGACCCAAGAAAAGACTTGTGGAACTAGAGCTTCCTAGCATCCATAGACATTACCTATCTACTCATACATGAGTAAGGATAGCGAAGTTTTACACACATTCCCCGTGGGCACTCGGTATATATAGAAAGAGCAGTTCAAATCCCAAATCAGATATCCTGAGGTGTATTCAGTGAAAGATGGAATAATGCGTGCGTGTGTGTGTGTGTGTGTGTGTGTGTGTGTGTGTGTGTGTGTGTGTGTGTGTGTGTGTGTGTGTGTGTGTGTGTGTGTGTGTGTGTGTGTGTGTGTGTGTGTGTGTGTGTGTGTGTGTGTGTGTGTGTGTGTGTGTGTGTGTGTGTGTGTGTGTGTGTGTGTGTGTGTGTGTGTTGTGTGTGTGTTGTCTATTCGTTGTTTGTGGAGTCTTCGTCCTTTCTCACCTACGTAAACTTTTTTCGCAGTCGCCACAAGGTATGTTGTACACAAGACTCTTAACCAGGACAGCACACCTTGTGGCGGTTGCGAAAAAAGTTTACATAGGTGAGACCGGTCGAGGACTCAGCCATTTCCCAGGCGGTCCCAGACCTCCATCATTTGAGAAGGAAGGAAGAGAGGGAAAACAGAGTCAAAGAGGAGAGGAAATAAGAAGGAGAGGGTAATGGATGAGTAAGGAATAGTAAGAGGAAGAAGAGAGATGAGAAAGCCACGCTTCCAAGTGTAGATGCAACTGAGCCCCCTAAATTTTATCACTGACGATGCGCGCCTACATCAAAAAATCCTCTTCCATAAAGGCGAAATTTGCTTACTATCAAAATACAGAAAGCATATCACAACGCGCAGAAGGGTGCTAAGATGCTTCGAAGCTGCATTTCCCATCCACGGCAGAAAGGAGCTGGCCGCCCTGCGCCTCCTCCGCGGCTTGTCACTATGTATATATATATATATATTATATATATATATATATATATATATATATATATATATATATATATATATATAAATATATACATATATATATGTATGTATATGTATATATAATATATTATATATATATATATATATATATATATATATATATATACATATATATATGTGTGTGTATATGTGTGTGTGTGTGTGTGTGTGTGTGTGTGTGTGTGTGTGTGTGTGTGTGTGTGTGTGTGTGTGTGTGTGTGTGTGTGTGTGTGTGTGAGTGTGGATAGACATTAATGTGTAGATGGATATAGATAGATAGATAGAGAGAGAGAGAGGGGGAGAGGGGAGAGGATAGAATGAGAGAAGGGAAGGAAGTTATCTGAAAAGATATTATACAGAAGAAAAGGAGATCGAAATAATCATACAAACAAAAAAGGCCCAATGAATTCGTTCAGTTCGGGCACAGATATTATAGAAATGATAGAAGAAACAAGACGAAATAATCGCTAGTAATGTGTAATTACTAAATAAGAAAACGAAAAATGAATATGGGCAAATCCGTTATTCGTTTCCACAAACGACAGCAAATCTTTTCTTTCTATTGAGAGAAGCAAAGATAGATTAATGTAAAGAGAAAATTTGGGGGAAAACAAATCGATATTAGATACAGAGAGAAAGAGAAACGTTGCAGTGAATAGAAATGACAGAATGAATCCGGACAGTTCCGCATGGCAGGATTTAATTCCAATATTGTTAAAGGAGAATGGAAAAATGACACACAGTTGGAAACACATATATGGAATTAGGAAGAAAAGAGAAAGCAATCGACTACAGAAAAAATATAAACTACGTAAAACAATTTCACTGAATCCAGTCGCCCAAGAGACCGCGGATTCGCTTACACGAACATCAACAAAGCACGGAAGGAGCCAATATCCTCTTCTGTTAAAAAAACATTGAATTTGTCATAATGTCAAGCTGATCGTCGCCATAAACCACATCTGAGAGGATAGTTTCAGCGACGGAGAAGGTGAAACAG